AATAAGGAACCCTTGTCGCTCCACCAAGTCCATACTATGGCCCGTCCCTTCCTCGAATCAACTAACCCAGCCACATACCAGAAGGGTCTCATTCCGCTGCTCATGTTCGCAGCATTCCTACGCTACTCGGACCTCGTCAGCAACCAGTGGAATGACATACAATTTGAGGACAAGGCAATGTGGGTCCTGATCCCACACTCCAAGACGGATCAGGAAGGCAAAGGCACCTGGGTCCCCATTGCCGCCACAACCATACCCTATTGCCCTGTTAGCTGCACGCGGCGCTTCATTCACCTTGCAGGCCACACTGCCACCCCACACGGGCCTCTGATTCACGTCTTCGCGACCAGAGGCAAGGCCACCCCACGGGACGCCGCACCTTCATACACAACCATTCGGAATTGGTGTCTGGAAGCCTTTGCCGCAGCAAGCCTTGACCCACCAATCTCGGCACCCACTCTTTCCGCAAGGGCGCCGCGACCGCAGCGGCCAGCCTGGGGATACCTGACAGGCTTTTCAAGCGTCTAGGCTGATGGCGCAGCGACAGTGCGAAGGAGCTATACATCACTATCGCGCAAGACCACCTTCTTGCAGCCTCTATGCAGCTTCAAGATCCATCCGCAGCCCCATCGCCCAACAACCACCAGCTGTCCATCGAGCGGCAACGCCGACCCGTCATCCACATGCCTCAGAAGACCCATATGAAATGAAGCACGCTGCCTTTCAAGAGGACCTAAGCAAGCTTTCACAATATGTAATTTTTTGAAGACGTGTAGCGCTTTCTAAAAATGTGTATTGTGATAGTGTAGCACGAGCCAACGCAGCAAAGGCAGCGGCGAAGCGCACCTAACCCTCTTTTGCATTCAAAAGAGGAACGTGAGGCCTCTCGGCCTCACCCACGTTCTTCATTTCTAGTTCAACTCATTTGAGTTTCCCCGCCCACCCACCCTAGCTATGTGTTGAGTAGTTTATTGGACGAGAACCAATGTATGTCACCCATATGAAATGAAGCACGCTGCCTTTCAAGAGGACCTAAGCAAGCTTTCACAATCCCATCCGCTCTTAGAATAGCAGAATGAATTAGAAAGAAGGGTACACGGTAGTTTTGACCTAATATGCTGTACTCCCTAGGGCATGCCCCTAACTAGGCTATAGTGACATACACATATGTTTGACACACCCCCTAGACTGGACAAGGGGCAGTGCCTGGCAAGAGACAAGCAACTCAGGTTGGCACTACTAGTCCAACCTCTGAGACAAGGGTCCGAAGCAGGGCCCTAGATTGGTTTTGAGGCTTCCTAATCCATCAGGATTCTCACTGCAGAAAAGTCTGAATTTTCAGGGTCCCTTAAAAAAAAATCCTGAGCCATCAGAATTACTTAAAAAAAAAATCCTGATTGTGACACGACTTTCAGAGGACTGTGCAGTGCAGTCGTCATAGCATTTCATATCTCAATGATACAGCACACTCATAGTTAGAAGTACATGGATGTTCTAAAGGACGAAGCTAAACAGGCAGATGCCGACTAGGAAAATGGGAGAGGGGGGTGGGAGCAATTAGAGAAGAGAAATGAGAATGAGACTAGGTGGCAGGTCCATCGGACCTGCGAGAATGTGAAGGAGCTTGTCTCCTTTACAGCAAAACTCCTCTTCAAATCGAATCACAATCTGTTAAATTTTTATTCCTAAAAAATTATTCATATCGTGACACGACTTTCAGAGGAGTGTGCAGTGCAGTCGTCATAGGTCGAACGAAACATCAGGGAGGGGGTTGACGGCGGTGGCGCTCAAGCGTGGCTGCATATCAAGCAGTTGGACTGGAGCGGAGAGGGTCCTGAAGGGTCCGTGAGGCAGCGATAAGCTCGCGATCGAGCTGGGTGACATAACGCTCCTTAGCCGTGTCGCTGCGCCAGCGGCCGAGGGCCTTAAAGAGCCGATAAGGAACACCAACATCAATGGCCATGGTGGTTGCGGACTTGCAAAACGAGTGTGTGCCAAGGACATCAGGATTGAGTCCGACCTGAGAGAAGGAATCCCGGCACCAACTCCGAATGGTGGCATACGAAGGGGAGCGATCGGAAGGGGAAGCTCGAGAGCCCGGCTGAAACACACGGATGAGGGGGCCGAGAGACTGGGCGGAGTACCCAGCGAGGAATAGGAATTGCTGGACGCGAGAGACGGGGCAGTGGCGAGCGGAGGAGGCAGCCACAGGAATCCATGCACCAGTACCCGCCTGATCGGTCTTGGAGCGGGGAATGAACAACCACATACAGTCCCGGTCAAACTCAATCTGGTGCCACTGGAGGGATATCAGATCAGAGAAGCGCAGAAAGGCTGCAAACATGAGGAGAGGGATCAGCCCCTTCTGGAAGGTCACAGGATCGGACGACGCGAAGTAGACGTCGCAGATATCGTAGATTTTTTCGGGTAGTATCGGCTCCTTAGCTCGAGCGGGCCTGCCGCAGTGGCGTTACGCATACTCCTTCACTTGGGAAGATAA